TTTTCAAAAACAACCCCCCCCCCCCCCCAACAAAAAAAAATAATAATAATAAAAAGAAAAGAAAAGAAAAGAAAAGGGGTCTTAGTTTCTTCAAACCAAGCATTTGTCGATGCATTATCGTGAATTTCACCCTTTATTCAAATGCGAGCCATGTTTAAAAGTTTAATGTTCTATTATAATGGTCTGCTTTATTATTTTACATATTACGAGCATCTTCAAATGCGGTGTAAAATAGATATGAATTATGATTTAGATTTTCAAAGTGGGTGAAAACCTTTCCAATGGAGTGATGCAAATGAAATGCAAATTGCATTTTTTGACAGACAATATAAAAAATATATATATATATATAAATTTATACAATTTTTTTTTGTAATATTCACAAGAGGCCAAGTATAAATCTTTCCATTGAAGCAAAAGTAATTCGAGATGCTCCAAAAACATAAAATTAACCAATAGCTTACAAAACTCGTTCCTATGTTCTAGGTTTTCTTTCTCGGAAAAACCTACAATTTTTTTAAGTCAAAAAAGTTTCCTTGGCACTTTTTGTGGAAAATTATGATTTTGGTATTGTGTCCCTCAACTCATTTTTATTTTTTATTCTCAATTTGTCTCTCTCTGCTAACCATATCCCCACCCCACCCCACCCCCACCATGCATGGACACACTTTTTTCACGTAGAGTTTAACCATATGTTGGAGAAGTTCATCGATCATCGGTTTGAGTTTAAATCATAATTTTAGGTTCGTAATTTTTATTTTTGAATTCCTCTAATGAATTAATAAATATAAGCACAATTTAACTTCGTCATGTTTTTAAGCAACGTTCAAACTGATCAAGCCTACCACAACTTTTCTCATATTTCTTTTCATTTATTTGCATGTAATTTAATATATAGTGAAAAAATATTATTGAAAAGGACCCACTCCTCGTACTAGGTCTAAGACTCGTCCCATATGGCACGGTTTGTACAAGGACGATATTTTTTTTTTTTTTTTAGTGGCATAAGAAACACCCACCCATGTTACCAACCATCTTTGTCTTGCTATTTAGCCTTAAAAAATTGACTGTTTTTATGCCATTTCTTCCATACTCTAACCAAGAGATACGAAATATAGCTCCAAGGTAGAAATCAATGGCCACAGGGGCAGCTGGAGATGGACTTTTCCGGGGTGTGTTCGAAGGGTGCATTTCAGGCGGCGACATGGGTATCCGAAGAAGGCCGTACCATAAAAATTGTGGGTGCCAACTACATAAATTACGTCAAAATTGCTCGCATTTGTCAAAATATAGAAGCGTGGCCTATCCTATTAGGCGATCTTGGAGTGAAGGTTGCCTCTCATTGATGGCATCCGGGCTCTCGTTGTCCCCTTGTTCTTCCCCGACCAAATCCTCTGAGGAGATGACAAGGACGCTAACGCAATTAAAACTATGGAAGGAAGAAGAAGAACAAGAACAAGAGACTAAGGTTTGATCCTTTTAATTTATATTGGTCTCTTGCCCTTTTTTTTTCTTTTTCTTATTCTTTTTTTTGTGGGAATAATTTTATGAAAGTAAATGGTTTGGTTTTCGTTTTTAATTGATGGGACCGACGAGAGGTCTTGTACAAAATTGTTGTTTGTGATCAACAAACTTGTATGTATTTCCTTTTCCTCATCCGAATCAAAGATATATACTTGTAAAAATTTGGATAGTGTTTCTTCATCATCTTTCAAATTTTAATACTATTTTTTTGGTAATACACCTTTCTATCCAACCACAATTGATATTATCGTTCGCGTTATTATCTCGCTTCACTCGTATGATTTATAATGCTTTTCTCCACCCTAAAATCTTTCTAAAGCACTTTATTATCTCCAAAAAAATGAAACTTGACTTTAAGAAAGAAGCTGCAAGGGTTTGGCCAAACCTTCCAGTGTCAAATTGATTGTTGGGAAAAAATGTATAAACTTTGTTCACAAGATTTATATACACACCAACTTATTGTATATTATGTTCAGCAAAAAATTGATTAAAATCGAAGTCAAAGTCGACAATTAATTTGAACTACACAATTCATAGGATTCACAATTTTTTAACCACAAAATCCATCATTTTTCTTTATTTATTTTATATCATAAATATATGTTAGTCACGTAGAATTAGTCGAGTCTAGAAATAAACAAGATTTTATTTTCTAATCCAAATCTTGTCCCGTCCTTTCTATCAAACATGAAATTCTACATTTATTTCTTGGACAATTATTGTGAGACTATAGCAAATGAAAATTTAATTATGGATTCTAGTTTACTTACTACACACACCAAAACTTACCTTCACCTACTTTTCTTGTTCTTCTAATTCTCAATTTACAGGAACGTTTCTATATATTTTAATTAGTAGGTCGGAATTATAATTTAGATTTTAATTAAAATCAAAATTAACAATTAATTTTAACTATGTATTTTATGGGATTTACAAATTTTTAACCACATATTTCATTAAATTTTCTAAATATCCTAAAAATCTAATTTTAATCCCGTGGAACTGGAGCTTAAGCATTCATAGTCAAAGAGGAGAAGCGTCTGCATGTAGTATATGTCAATATGTCCAAAATACAATAAGTGAGCCAAAAAAAAAATAAATAAAAAAAAATAAAAATAGAGAGCTGACCAAGTTTAAAAGGGATATCCTTCGATATTTCTGAGGCCCAGGCCCATGTACGGGGGTTTGGCGTCACGCCTTGTCAGCCAGCATCTTAGGAATTATATTTAAGGATCCTTTTATTTGTCAATGTTTTCTTTGGCCGATTGCTTGAAATAATGTATAACAAATGATTAAATGAAAAGAAAAATAATATTAATTTTCAAGACTCATTTTGTGCCGGGCCATGACTCGTTATTTAGTTGTAGTGCTAAACATCAGTATTGTCTAATGAATAGAAATACATCTCAATTTCATTGAACAACGTAGTAATGATCATACTATCACACTAACAAACGTTTAACACCATCGAAACTAAATATCATTACTCATAGAGTAAGCAAATATAACATATATCTTGATAGCTGATTCCGCTAGCCATTAATAGTTTTTGTCCCTGTGTCTAGTAAAGCTCTGGTATTGAAGTGTCAGGTTCGATTACAAATATTATTAGATATTTACAAGATGAAATTTATGTAGCTTTCATATATAAAATTTGAATTCAGGAAGAGAATTGTTGATTAAGAGGGTATTACTCATGAAATCTATAAGTTAAAAAATATGCAATTGTACATCGATGAGGACCTTATTACAAGAATAGAATATATCACGAATACTTTTGCATACCAAATTCTTCTACCTATATCACGCTTAAAGTACTAGCAAGTTGCAAGTGTGAACTTGAATCTTCACGAAACATGACAACAAAACACATTTGGACTAATCTACAGATGCTGATTTTTGGGTGTAAAGAGCAAGTTTTATGTCCAATTTAACATAATCGAAGTATCGGCCTTTCTTCGTCTTTTGCTTTTGTCTCACACTCTCACCCTTCGGCAGTGCAGAAAAAGGGAGATTCCAAGGCAAATTTGGTCGAGTAAGAGAGTTCCTATGTAGTTTTATAATTAGAAACTGCAGAATATTCCATGAGAAAATATGTTGCCCAGACAAACAGTACCACCAATTTTAAATACCATCAGAGTGTACTGTGAGATTTATATCTTCATATAAGCCATAGACAAGAATCCTAGTTCATGAGAAACTGAAACATTGAGCAATTGTTATAGCTCCGTAATTGTGATAATATAAATAAACTTGGACTCTCACAGCTTAAAAAATTATTACGGTTAAATCGAAGAAATATCATACATGTAATGCAACGTTTGATCTAAGTTTAGATATTGAAATTATCGAGCTCTTCTTGTACCTGAACCATATGTAATTGTCGGGGTCAGCTTACCCCCACAAAATTTTATGAATTTTTCGTTTTTCACCTATTTGCACAAGTTTTTTCCCTTTCATTCTTTGTCTCTTAACTTTTCTCGTGCCCCGAATTCCATTCTTCTTCCAATACCTAAGTTTGCCATTTTTACCAAACATTTGTCTTTTTCTACTCAGTTCATGTACACTGACACCGATAACTTTTGACTATGTCTCCACCTTAATGCCGAACATCTCAAAGCCCTCAACCCACAGCTTGGACCACACTATGGGATTGGAAATCAACGGTTGAATAATAGTTTAATTAAGTATTTGAAAATGATGCAATTACAAGGTATGAGAACGTCTAGGCAATATTTTTATTAATGTATTGAATTGTTTACAATAATGTTATGTTACTTCAAAAAAATTTAACTTAATTTTTGACCTGCAGTGAAGAATGTCCTGCTCCATCAGTGCGTACTGTGTCGTATGGATATTGACACTCCTCGGACACTTGGTGACAAGGGTCCGGCAAGCTATCCGGTGTCCTATTTTTCTATTCTTTTTTAAATTTCTAAGTTTGAACGGATACTTTAGGAACATTCTCGAACAAATATTCTACATGGTATATTCCATGTGCTATATTAAAAAGTATAAGAATAAAGATATAATATATAAATTAAAAATTTTAAGTAATATAAATCGACATGTTTATGTTCATGTCTTACTTTTCAGAAAAATCACATTTCATAGTATACTTGTCGTGTGTCACATATCTGTACAACCACTAGTTGGGTGTCACATGAACCCCCAATTTTTTCCATTTTTTTTTTTAATAAAGTTCTATTTGGTATTGATTGAAATATAAAGTATAAATCAAAATTAAGTAGCACTTCATCGAAAGGGGCATTACAAATAAAATATTCCTGGCTCAAAAACACCAAGTCAGACATGCTAATCAAGGCCCATGATTTTGTCTTGCTTGAAATACTATGCTTTGAGCTTTTCTTTATTCACAAAATTATTCATTGGCGACAATCTGATACTGGACAATACCGTATAGAATAATGGACAAGATTTTTGTTTCATTTTGTTACTTAATCTTGTACATTGTTGTTCAATTCGGCAACGAAAGATGTCCTCAAAGTATTGATCTAAGATAGAAGATTTACCTCAGTTCGGAGCAGAGGAATCTATTAATCTTGCATTTACCTCCAAGTCTTAGATATTCATACCCAGCAACCTAGTTCCTACAAAATTTCCTAAGCCTTGCAACTTACTAATAATTAATAAAGATGAAATTATTTTATTATGTGAGAGTCCGTCTTTAAATTAATTCAAGAACAGTCACAAGCTCTGATATATATATATATATATATGAATTTAATTACTCAAGTCCGTGACTAAGTGACATGACCCTTAGTATCACGATTTTATTTGAAATAATCACCTCATGCAAAGAATCACACCAATTTTTATGTAAGCATCTATGATCCTGAGCATATAACCCATAATTCCAAGAATCTGCAAAACACAATGCAGCTTGCATAGCCACTCACTATTCTTTAATTTATTAAGCAGAAATCATCCGGTTTTGGCATTTTAAGATAATTTTCTTGAACAATGCACTCATCTTTAATTCATTTGGAAAGAACCAAATAAGGTGAAATGCTTTAAAAATCTGGAGGATGCAATATCCAAATTGTTTTTATCCGACCGACAGGTACAAACCAAACAAGGACTTTAGTTACAACTGTAAACAAATTATGCACGTAATAAATGATATTAATAAAGGGAAATGCAACTTGTCCATACTCGGGGACCAACCAAAATCCAGGGTGCCGAGGTGGCAACACCTCGGCCCTTGGATCTGAAAAAAAAAATGAAGTTGAAATCGGGCTCAGCCTCCTGTTTTTGGGTCGGTCCCCGAGTTGGGACTTGTAGCATGGCTGATTAATAAAAGTCACTAGGAGTTTTTTTATCAGGTGGACTGGACATCACTAACACTACTAGAATAAGTGTTTATAACTATTATGCATCTCCCAATGAGGCTATGGATGTGGCCCACATAGTCGAACCCACGTGGCAGAACCCATGTATGCGAACCCATGTGGTTGAACCCTCATAAAAGAGCCTCGATGAGCATAGACGAAGTTGAAGAAAGAACCTGGCAGGAAATCTTATAATTAAATCTATTGACATGATAAATGTGACAATTCTGCCACAGTCAACCTGTTTAGTCAAGTCTACTTCCACAAGTTAGGATTTATGGATAAAAAAGCAGTGTTAGCATTTATGTCCCATGATTGATTGATGCTCCCTATGGGAACTTCCAATCACATGGATGATGCCACTTGTCTTTTCATTCGACAGTCCTTATTCATTTTACTACACTATAAAAGCTCACACTTGGTATCATTCAAAGATAATGCAAATTTAGACTTTCATATTATAACTTTGCTCTCTTTATTCTCTATATTACTCCCAAAGCCAACCCCCTTCATTTTGGAGGCTCACGTTTAAGGCACTCCCACACTCGTATATTTGTTCTCTTTAAATTGACTTGACTATCGGAGTGCGCGCAGTTGACTCCATCCCCACCGGAGAAGGCCACACATACCTAATGGTTTGTCCCAGTGTGCAGGAACAAAGCTTGCGTGGATGTGAGAGGTTTTGATATATGTTGACACATCA